TGATAGTTCTAGAAACGTTGCGTCATAGTAGTCACGTGACTCGCTGACGCAACAGTAGGTTATCTGAGAAAGTGACCGATTAATGTATCAATATTTCAGTACTTACGAATAATAAAAATCTTGAGCAGCTTCTAACGTTTTAAATGTTGGAGTTCTGAAAAGTTTCCACCAAGGAAATCCTAGTAGTGTCTTAGCCATAGAATCCAGAGTGTCATTCACAGCACTAAGTGCCTTCTTCTCACGGTCATGAAGTTTACCCTTACCGGCAGACACTAATCCCAGACGGAAATCGAAACATATAACACCCACCGCTAAGAAAACAAAACAAAGGAAAAAATATTTTAAAACGAAAATCAAAAACAATAAAACAAACAGCAAATAAAAACACGATATAAAATAAGCATGACTTTAAACACGTGCTTCATTACCTTACGATGCACTGATATTTTAGTCATAGCACCAATATATTTTACAACCATAAAGGTGTTTGCAAAGAAGCCAACAATCAATTTAGTCATCCTCTTTCTTTTTTTTTTTTTTAACAAATGCAAAAGAAGTCTGAAACAGAACCCAGCTCTAACACCTTATAGGCTTAACTAGCGTTACGTTTATGCATGATTAATTGACATTTTCAACTTACATTCCTGGGTGTACCGGTAGAGTTCATTTAAGATATCTTCACACACGTTTTCTTCGTTCCTTATGTACCGAATCCTTTCTGCAAAATCTTCGGCGACTGCTTGTTGTGATGGTAAATAAGGGTCAGGGGAGTCAGGTCGAAGCATCCAATTAATGGCGCGTCTTAATCTATACCACTCTTTACCACTTCTTGAATAAAAAAAAACAACAACATACATATAATGCTAACTAAATAAGCAAGTCACACTGTAAACATTTCAACTGAGAGCTGTTAGTGTTCAATTTGATATTTAGGCGTTTGAACCTATTGGCTTAATCGGTTTCACCCGACTAAAATGTAGACTTTATATGAATTCTGTGTTTTGGTTTATTAATATCATCACCAAAAAACCCCGCCCGCTACCACACAAACAAATACTTTTTATTTTAGCCCTACTTAAAGTATTTTATTGCTTATGATTTGGTGTGTATTTGAAAATATGTAACCCTTGCAATATTATCGTTCAATAACCTTTATTTTAAAGCTCTAAACTAACTTTTTCAAACAAATGCAAGTTACAATTTTGAACGTAGACACTGAATACACTGCCAATAGAACAATACAACTAACTATTTCAGAAAAGCTCGTTGCTGAGAAACGATTTTGTGCTTCGTTAACGAACTGCTTTAAGGCGCGGCATAGCGGCTCATAGAATGATTCCGAGTTGTTTTTGTTGTTTTTTTCAAGTACAAACTTTTAGCTCATAGCTCTGTCATCTCTTGACCTATTTGAGATCTAATTACACTTTTGGACTCAGTGGGTGAAACCCTTTCGATGGGTATATTTGACCCCCCCAAGGTTTCATAGATTAATTTTCTCTAATTCTGCCTAACAAAATTTCAAGTGCCGTGGCTATTGAAGATACCCCTCTAGCTGACACTTGCTAGAAACCCACTAAGAAGCGCTGCATATCTAGGGAAACGTACATTAACTGCTTACGAAAGTAACTTGTGTAAATACTAAATGCTCGACTTCCATATTACATAACAAGCAGGGTTCGTTTATTAAGTCAAAGCGGATAAATAATAGAAAACCATTAGGTCTAACATACGTGATGCAGTTTATGTAATTTTATCACAAATGTTTGGCCTATTGAACAACATACTTCCCAACAATTTCCAAGCACAGGCATCAAGTGTATGTATAATAAACGTCTTTGCGGTGGAACCAGGAGAGGGAGCACCGGAGCACGTACCCCCAACTTGAACCGGGTAACGAAGTACCCCTTGGAATGGGAATAGAGTAATCGTGTATAACTATCATGAAAAGTCGTTGTTTCAGTTTTGAATTCAATGGCCATGGTTAACACAACAAACATGATGCCCCCAATCGTCGACCCTCCCCCTCCCAATTCAAACATGTTCCACTGCCTTTGCTGAAGGTAACCACTGCAGGTGTGTGTGTTCAAGTCATGACTTACTCTGAAATTATTCCTGCTGACCGATATTTGTGTGGGTTTCTTGTTCTGCATAACTTCAATGCTTCAAATACAGGTCTTGTGGGATAACGACCTTCATGACGAAACATGACCTTGATGTCCTCGGGGTCAAAAAGCGCCAAGAAACAAACTCCTAAGTCAAGTCGAACGATTGAACCATATTTCCTATTTAAGTCTTCGTACGCATCGTAAAGTCTTTCAAACGAGTACGGCCCTGATGAAAAAACAACAACAATTTTCTCTTAGAATTTACTGAAGTTGAACAACGTATTGGTTTATGGATAACACAAGTACATAACATAACATAATAAAATTTAGGATTTTACAGTTGGAAGTACGTTTTAATGTCATAAATGCTGTTAGTTTCAATATTATTAAGATCACTTTGATACAACTAGAAAAACAATTACAGAATTGATATGTCCACAACATTTCTACCACAGTTTCATTATTATCGACAATAAATCATTTTCAACCACAATGAATCCTCTTCCAAATGGAGTTATATCTAAGAAGGTAAAAACCCTGATAAAAAAAAACAATGTATACAGTTTGTAAAACCCAGCTCAAAAGAGTTATGCCCACAGTTTCGTAAAATTCCTAAGTAACAGAGACGCGTCAACAGTACCTTTACAAATACAGAATATACACACATATATACAGGTTTGCCAATAGTTCTGTTATACATACAGCCAATGACGAATACACAGCAGCACCGATATTTGATTTATTTAATACAGGGCGATATTTCATCATAGAACTAAGGAGCAATATATGTTAGGAATGATATTTGATGCTTTGACGCCTTAAACTCTATAAAGACGTGTCCAATATCTAAAGAAATCACCCATTCTTTAATTTTAGAAGGGATTTCGATTTGTTCGTTGATTTTGAACATCATTATATATATACATGCCATTATAATCTGCATCATAAAATCAAACTGCTATCTAACATACTCTTTTTTATGTCAGATTGATGACACCATGTCAAGCGGACTGATTTACCAAAACAAACTTGCCTATACCTTGGTTCCATGCTTCAGACCATATAAAGTATCCTTGGTTTCGGAACCCCCCCCCCCCTCATCAGTAACCCTGAACAAGGACAAATCGAAAAAACTAGACTAGGCTTCTTATAGTGGTAAATTGAATGGTACAAACATACGTGGTGTTTTCAGCTGTCTTTTACTCAAAAGGATTCCAAGAATATGTAACATTTATGTTACAAGGGCAATTTGAAGAATCAGGGTTAATGATGAGGTGTGAAATTCCCAAAAACTGGTATAACTTAATAACAAGTGATAAATCAACTGACAGACTGAGCTTCACTGTTATTTTTAGTATATAAAGTGACAACTTTTTCTTATATTAAAAATAACTACAAACCATATACAGAGATAAGTTATATTTTTTGGAAACTTGCCCCATCTTGAGAATAAATACAGATGACCAACGACAGGCAATGAACGAGGACATGGGATAGAATCAAAATGCTTGGCGTTAACAAATTCTGAGCTGCATTCTTTACTGGATGAAGAAGTGGAGTTCACAACTTGATGTCTGAAACGATCTGATGCAAATGTCGAAAAATGCCTTCCAAACACAAATATGTTGAGTGTTCTTTTCATAGCGTTTCTTCCTAAAATTTTGAAAAAGAAGAAAAAAACCCAACAACAAACAAACAGTATTAATTATTACACTTTACCCGTTGGGTCTTAAAAATTAATTTTCTAATATTTCACTTCTCAATGCAAATATCAGCCGGTGAGCCTGTGCGCACATAACCCCCCATTGTGTGGCTTTGCGCTAAAAACTAAGAATTGTTTGTTTTGAATTTCACGCAAAGCTATTCAAGGTCTATCTGTGTTATTTGTTTGTTATAGATTTCGCGTAAAAATTAAAATGCCGTACTGAAAACAACGAAGCAAAATAAAAATTTTGTGTATCTATTGGTTATGAATGATGCAATCGAAAACGACAGAGAGAATAATGGCCAATTGGTTAAAGAGAGGATATGACAAGTCGAAGTGGCAAGTGGGTTTGACATTCTAGTTTATGTCTTTGTAACAAAGATTGAACACTATACAAATTAGATTTTGCCATATTAATATCTGTGCTATAATGACTAATTTATGTTCAACTGAGGAAGAGTTAAATCAGAGGACAGTGGGTTTTTCACTTGCAACTTTAAAGGAACTACAAACTGAGGATCAGAAGAAGAGTAAACAGCTACAAGAGTGGAAAACGGACATTATAACCAAGATTGTGAAGAACAAACCAAAGTGGTAAAACAGGAAAAGGCTCTCAAAGAAATAAAGGCCATGATACAGAATGAGTAATAAAAGTGAGTACTAGTCCTCGGACTTCATCTATTGTACTTACGAAAAAGAAAAAGGATGGACAAGACATCCTTAGAATGAGTCCCAGAGCCTAAAAGTATCAAAGGATTAAGAGTGTGCTTAGCAAACATATAAAAAGAATTACTAGATTTAAGAGGTAACATTCAGCTGAGAAAACTCCATTTGCTCCAAAACACTGAGATAAGAAGTTCATTATTTAAAGAAACTAGATTAAGAGTCAATTGATTTATTAATGGGAAGCCTTTCAATATGTTGATCGACGTTAGTTTAATGCAACCCTTTTTCAACCTGATCTGGTGGTAAAAGCTCAGAAATGACCTCCACAGATGATGCAAGAGAAAAGTTAAAAGTCTTCTTCACTGTGGAAAGCTTCTCTACACAACATGTTGTATGGGTAACTGATAGTGAGGTAGAATGCATATTGGGAATAGATTTAATATGGAAGTACAGATGTGAGGATGGACTCACTTCAAACCAAAGAAAGCAGTTGTTATACCACCAAGAAGTGGAATATTTACACCTGTAATGGCTAGAAACAACTTTTGGTATTATGATTGGGGCATTGTAGGACCAAATACTCTAGCCTGTCCTAAGGGATTATCAATATGAAGAAATCTCGTGAGATGAAAGAATAAAGATACAGTTATGTCAATTCTGGATGGAAAGTCACAAAATACGAGTTTCTATAATTAATTATTCCACACCAAAAGTAGTCACTTTAAAAATAATGTTTAAGAATTCTGACATTAAATCTTCACGTAAGAAGAGCTCTCCAACTCATTTGCAGGAGTTGTATGACTAAAGCTGTGAAGTTCTTACAACTAACAAACATCACAGATTACACGACTTGCTCATAGGATACCAAGACACCTTCTGCAGTGGACCTAAAGACATAGGCTAAAGAAATAAAATATATCATAAGCTTGAGTTTCAAAACAAACAAACAAGATTTGTAATTACAACAGAAATGTTTACACAAGTAAACAATTTAAATATACAATTATAACACTATAAAATGAAAAATATGGCACAGATGAAATGGATAAAATAAGTTTAAGTCAAGTGAAGACTTTGTATTATTTAGGAATGAAAGGAGAGTTTTTATGTATAATGTTTCTTTTATAAGGAGTTCAAAATCATGTTTGGCTGTTGAGAGAATTTTAAAGTTGGAGAGAGAAATCAGATGTCCTATTTCTGTATTGTGCTGATGGATAGCGGAGTTGGGAGGGTTTGTAACCTTTCTTTCAGTTTTTATAGATATATAGTTTGGTTTCACCTTACAGTCTCCGAACGTGTATAAGTAGATGAGATGTGAACAATGGTCTCCTTCCTTCTTCACTTGATTTAAACTTATTTTAATTATTTTTTTGTGCCACATTTTTCATTTTCTCATGTTATAATTGTATATTCGAACTGTTCACTTCTTATGTATATATTTCTATTTTAATCAAAAGATTGCTACTGGAGATGCAGCCTGAATATAACTGGTGGTCAGATGTCTCAAAGTGGCAAAACAGGCTAAGGCTATCAAAGACATAAAGGCAATGAGACAGAATGAGTAATAAAACTGAGTACTAGTCCTCAGACATCACCTACTGTACTTATGAAAAAGAAAAAAAGGATGAATCCACATGGTTTTATATGGACTACTAGAAGGTAAGTGAAGTTAGAAAAAAGCTTATCCATTGCAGTGAATTGATTATTTTGGATACTTTATCCAGGTCAAAGTGGTTTTCAACTTTAAATCTGAAGAGTGGATACTAGTAGGTATCCATGTCGATAAAACAGACTTTACTTTAGGAAATGGGTTGGGACACTTTATTGTGCTACCAAACTCATCTACTGACATGAAATAATCACATATAGGAAGACTTTCACTGATGCTTTTGATTGACTAAATAAAGTACTTGATAGGTTGAGAAAAATAGAACCTTAAATTGAATCCCAGTAAATATTAATTGTTCTATTGACAGCTAAAATTACTGGGACATATAGTCAGTGGAGAGAAAATGTCTACAAACTATTAAAAAAATTGGATCTTTTCAGAATGGGCCACCTCTAGAAGTAAGAATATTTCTTCCATTGAGCTCCTACTATTGTCATTTTGTAAAATAATTGTCTGAAATATCTCCTCCTTTATGCTAACTATTAGTAAAATCAAAAAAAATTTTGTTGGACTGCTGATTGTGAACAAGTATTAAAAAAAATCTGAAGAAAACACTGATGACTCTGAATAATCATTCATCAAACTGAAGAAAGAACAAACCACTACACTTCTATTACCATACCCAATCAACTCTTGGTGACTCACTCATAATAGACACAGTGAATTTTACAGATGGAGAAGTGTTGTTACAAGTACTGCATTTATTATAACAAAGCAATGAATTCTGAAAAAGGAAAGATATACTAAATGTTGTTTCAGCCATTTCCGTTATTAACTGCAAAAAAATAAAATCTATATTTCAGACAGAAGGCCAGGTGGCACAATACTCCAGAAGCTTCAGAATTACAACTTCAATATTGTGCATGTTCATGGACAGAGCCATCGAAATGCTGATGTATTATCCTAAAGACTTTGTATTACAAAAGAATATAAGCTGAAAAGAAGGAAGCATACGATAAAACAGAAAACCAGCCTAAAGTACAACAGAGCAGAACTGAAGATGGAACACCCAGATATTATGAGTTAATGTGGTTCAAAAGTAACTGAAAAATGTTAAGACAAAAATAAAACGAGTATTAATCTGGTTATTCAAAGAATCGAGAATGGTGAAGTATAAATCAAATGGTAGACAGTGGTTTCATAGAGCCCACAGAAAAGATGTACTGGGCATAGTGAGGTTGACTATACCTATGAGAAGGCTTGGTATGTCAAAAATGGGAAAATACAATGGACAGATACTATAACATGAGTTGGTACTTCCATGGTCGCTACAATCAGTAGTACTCCATCACCCATAACAGCTGGACACTGGAGGGAATAAAAGAATAAATCTACTGGTAGAAATATATAGGGAACTGATGTAAAGTATTGAACTATGAGTGAAAAGGTCCATAAAGGCAATTACAGCAGTATTGTGTTGGAAAATGACGGATCATATCATCAAATGGTCAGAAGCATATGTTGTTCCTGAACTGGAATACAAAATTATAGGAAGGAATTTTCTCAATAAATTTGTTTCAATATTTAGTGTATCTATGGAACTTCACTCAGACAAGGAATGGAAAAATGAATCAGTCTTGTGTGCTGAGATGTGTCAAATCCATAATATAAAAAGATCAGGACAATGGCCATACATATTTCTTCTAATGTAATGATAAAGAGACACAATCATATGCTTTTAAATCAATTAGCTATTAATGTAGATAAACATAAAGAACGTGGGATCAGAATCATCAATTACTACTCGACATAAGTTACTGAACAGTGATACATGAAGCTACATAAAAAACACTAGTACCACTTAAATTTTAAATAGAACTGAAAGTGCCAATGGGGACTATCCCCCAGCAGCATTACATAGAGTATGCAGTGAAATTATAAAGAAAAAATGATGCTTCAGCTAATGATAAGATGAAACACTGCTGCGATGTGAATGTTGATAAGACTAAATTTCGCCATGATAACAAAGTATGGTTACACGATCTATACCTCACGAGACGACTATTTTCAGTTTTAAGTAGATTTTGGGTTGGGTGTGGTTTATAAAATAAAGAAAGACAGGGCATCCAAAGTAGATAGCATCTTATGAAATGCATTGATGAAATAATGGTCAAATGGTTAGCTTCAGAGAAGACATTGAAGAGGTAAATCAACCTACTGAACAGCTCAAGGTTCCTTCTATAGAATCACCAGGGATGGAACAGCAAATAGAATCCTTTGACCACCTAGCTTGAGAGAATTCCTCCAATGACAATATAGCACGCCATAATAAAAGACCTGGGGTCATCCAATGTTCACACTGTATATCATGGGAAATAAAATCACTAAAAACATTTGAAGACTGGACAATTAATGGATGATAATGAATGAATGAAGTAAAATATTTTCTTAACCAAAATTCTGATTGCACTTTAACTTTTACATATTTCAGAATGCTTGTAATTTTTAAAAATTATGAATGCTTTGTTTCTTTTTGTTAACTACAAAGCCACATAAAGGGGCATCTCGGCTGTGCTCACTGCGAGCATCAAAACCTAATTGTTAGTGTTATAAGCCATCAGACTTGTCACTGAGCCACTGAGTGGGAGACATTATCAATAGAGGATGTTAATT